CACAAACAGGATCATACTTGCAGTGGCACAGTAAGCTGCTGTGTATCTGCTCACAACCTCAGACCTTCTTAAACACATTACACATCTTTCTGCACTACTTTCCACTTAAACAACTGAATTTCTTCATGATGATATATATCCTGGGGCAGTATTTAGAAAAACATGGCTTTCAGTACTGGGACTGCTGTAGATCTCCCTGCCTCACGCTCCACCTGAAAGAGACATTTCTGCTTTCCTGGTAGGAAAATGAGATCATGGCCAGGCAGGAGAATTCCCAAGCTGAACACTGCCAAACCCCTGCCCTCCCATCTGGAGTGAGGGAAGAGAAAGCCACCTGGAACAAAAGCAGTGCTTCTCAGTAGAGTTGGTGTGGTAATGGCAGAAAATTGTGTGTGTAGCACCAATGAGAAGGGCAGTGATGCTGACTGTCCTGCAGCTACGTGACTAACAGTGTAAGTGCTCCTGCTGCAAGTAGGCAGCACCCTATTCTGCAAACCTCAACCCCTTTTTGAAGTGTACAGTGAACTACTTGCACTGATACAGTTAACACTCTTTGGAAAACATCACCATCACAGACCTGACAAAATGTTGGTGACCCTTTACTGTCCTCCTGCACTGACACAGTCCTGCATTGCTTACTTCAGTGTAAATCAGTCTGATCATCAGATCCCCAGGTGAAGAAAGGAAAGAAAGGAAAGGAGGAGCTTTTGCTTTCTCAGGTTTGCTCCCCAATCTTCACTGGGGATTCCTTTACTGCAAACAGCCTGAGTATTATTGCCGTTTACAGTAGCAATCACTCCATCCCCTCCTCTCCCACAAACCTACTGCTGATATTAGCACTGATCATACTAACAAGCCTATGAGTTTTATTACTACTGATACTAATAATACTGGACACATTATGTCTGTTCCCACCAATAACAGGCTGCAGATATGATCCCTGCTAATGCCAATAATACTGGGGGATATTATCTCTGCCATTGTCAGCACTGCAGATATTATTGCCAGTAATGCTGTCAAATACTTCAGATACTGTCAGGGACCAAGATTAATGACGTTGAGAATGTTATAGCACCAGCCTCACTGGAAGACGAATCCCAAATGAGAATTTGGGTCTATAGAGGAAGTCTGTGGACTGGTATGGAGGGAAAGAGCTATCTCTAATCTCTAGTAAGAGTGTTTTCTAAAGATCCCAAGCTTCACCCAGCTGGAGATCCTGTGGCATGCAAGGACAGTTTGAAATACCATTTTCATATTTTCTAATTATCTGTCCATCCATCTGTCCATCTATCTATCCATTCTTCTCTTTCTCTTCATCTCTCCCTTTTCCTCCTTACACAGTACTCAAGACTACAGTATGAATGATATTTATTTGTTGTTAGTGCTTCCAAGCTGTCCCCGTTCTCCTCCTTTTAGCTATCAACTGAAGGATATGGAGTTATGCAACAACAGATATATTTGCATATTATTTTTCTCCTTTATCCTTCTGGACTTCTTATTGCTGCTCCTTAGTCTGACAATGACCGTGCTGAGCTCGGCTTGCTATCACAGCGTATTACAACATTAGGATTGTGAAGAGCCAGGAATTCCTGTTTCCAGCTGCAGCTTGATACCACAAGACCCTCGGTGGTCTTGGGAAAGTCATTACATGCTGCAGGGCCACTTCTGCCTCTAGAAGATGGTGTGTGTAAATGGTGGGGAAGGTCAGAGGGAGATAACATCAGCATTGGCAGTGCTCATAGACTGCATGAAGTGGCGCACACTGTGCTAGACAAGTGGTGGTGAACTTTTTTAGCCAAATTATTTTTATAATCATAGGAGACCAACTGTCTGCTTTGTCTGGAAGTCGGAGGGTTTACAACCACTCATCAAAAATGGAAACAAAAGGAATGCATACACTTAACAGGGCAAATCCTGACCATCCTTCCTAGGCACTCACCTGAGAAAGACACTGAGTTCTGGGGAAAGACTTGTGATCTGACAGTTCCCTGTCGTGACAAGTAGGCACTCAGAGCTACCTCCCTGCTAGCTCTCTCGCTGCCATAGTCTTCTCAGGCTACCCTTGCAGTTGTAACCAGCAGATTTGGTAGGTTGGGATTTTCCCTTTTCCCTCTAACTCCCTGTGAGGTTCACACCTGGCTGTCAGCGTCCATCGCTGAGCCCACCTCATGCATCCGTCTGGCTCCTTCTGTCCAACTCGGGAGTTCTGCTACATCATCTTGACACATAATTATCTTTCCTCTTCTTAATCATCTGAGCTACTGTCTAATGTAGGCACCAGCTGCAGCAAGGAGGACCTGGGGGAGGGGGTGTGCTCAGATAGAGGCTCCTCTGTCTTTCTCCCACCCTGTTTGCCCCAGCCATCACAGAGGTTGCTAACAAGGTTTTCAGAACCAGGGATTCAGGAGCAGCTTGGTACTTCCCCCTTTCTGCTGAACTGCATTCCTCACAGAGGAATCCTTGAAGCAGAGCTGGTCCAACAGAGCGGAAAGAAAAGAGACAGCAGTGCTGGTTCTTCTGCCTTCTTTAGGGAAGAGCCATCCCCAAAATGCTGGGGAAGCAGATGTGTGTTGGGAGCTCATAAGGGCTTTTCAACATGAGAATAAACCCTGCAGTTAAGAAACTGGAACAGAACAGTGCTCAGAAGCTCTGGGAAATACTGAGGAGGTGTATGTATTCAGCAAGAGCATGAAAGAAATACCTGCCCTGGATTTCTTGCCAGACTTTGCTAATCCCCATCTCAGCTAGGAACAAGACGAGTCCTCATTGCTGTAGGGGAGATTTCCCAGGAGTGAGTGCAGGTCACTGCCTGTGCAAACGCCTCCATGGACCCTTCTAGCCTTAGGACCCAACCCTGCAAAGTGATGATGTCTTTCAGCATTTCTTAAGGCCAGTGTGAGCCCAGATAACTCAACCCTTGGCTAGGGGTTATCAGCATCTGGCAGGGGTTCCCATGTGAGGCTTCTCAGGGACAGGAGTGTGACATCTCCTTGCAGGAGGTATCCGGGATAGCAAGAGGAAGCCTGTTCTCTAAGGTACTTGCAGCTGTGGCATGTAACTGCTGCCTAAAACTCTGGAGAACTAAAGGCAAGCAACGTCTCCAGGATTGTCTGATACTGTTTTGATTCCTAGTAGGATATATGGGCTCTTGGCCAACAGCAGAGAGCTGCAGAGTATTGCTTGCCCTTCATAAATCAAATCTGGGATGAATTAAGGACAAACAGCAGAGAGTTGTTCCTACTGTCAGTATATTATTGTGAAGTGTCACAGTCTTAGATGGCTGCTCTATTGTTTCTGTGTTTAATTGTACTGCTCCAGAAAATCTCAGGTTCTGAGGCTGAAAGTGACTGTGTGGCTGCATCTAAAGTGGCATGATCTTTCCAGATATGTGGAAAGAATGGTCACCAAAGCCAAATGAACTGCTTCATTTCAAAATGAGATGTGGAGGCCCCATGTTGAGAGCTGGCGATCACCACTCTGGACCGTGTGAGAGGTGGGGTTCAATAAAACTCCAAGTAACTGCCAAGAGATTTGCACAAACATTAAAGGAACTTGTCACTGAGTTTGAAATGTCACTATTTGCTGTATATGTAATGATGGGAAATGCTGGAGGGGTTTGTAATGTTTGCACTCTCTTATTCCTGACATTTTTTTACTTTGATGCATTGACTCAGCCCTTCCATTGCTACACTTTTCTCTTAGCTGGGCCCTACTGCCATCTAGCTGGGAAATGGATCTTCCTCTGGGGCCTGATCCAATTTCCAGTGACATCAGCAAAAAACTTCCCATTTAACAGGAGCTAGATTGGGTCCTTGCCTCTAGTTTCACCTTGTATTAGGGAGAAAGGGGTCACGATTACTGCCTTTTTTTTTTTTCCCTTAGGATTACTATGCTTATTTGGATCAAAAACTTGCAGATGTAAACATCATCAGAACCAATGCTGAGAAAATCACTAGCAAACTCCCAAAATACAGCATCTCTCTCAGGAGAACTTTCTCTTCTCACCACATACCACACAGAGAACCCTCGTGTTCTCTTGTACCACACAGTCTGGGGCTTACAGCACACACAGCACACTGAGCCATCAGTGCTGCTAAGACCTTGTCCCCATGCAACAGGCAACAGTGGAAAACAACATACTGAAGGCAGGGCTGTACTGAACAAACTGGTCAGGCATTACTCTTAGAAAAGGTCACCTCCTGGCCCTGAATTTTTGAATGCATCAAATTAAAAGAACAAGATTTAAGGAAAAAAAGTTTACAAAGCCGCCGTAAGAGCACCAAGACCTCACCCACCCATCCTGACTCTGTCACACCTGAGGCTCCAACTTTTGGCTCATTTCACTTTGCTCTGAGTCCTTCCCAGCAGATAGGAAGGAAAAGGAGATGGCTTAATCCTAATTCCTTAGAACCCTGTTGAAATTCTTAGATAACAGCCTTAGGGCCACTACTCAGGAGACCTCCTTTTCTGCTTTCAGACTGTTGCAAGCATGGCAGTACTGCTGTGGTAGATGCTATCCATTGAAAACTGTGCCCTTATAATCACCAGCTAATGTAGCTCATGGCACTTCACAGGGCAGGAACTTGTTTGCAAGGGGAATGAAAGATAATTGCCACATTGCTGGTGCTTCTCCAAGACAGCATTTTGTTTGAAACGAGTGAGTCGGGGAAACCATGTTTACCCGCAGTTCAAAGTCTGGGCACCTGCTGGCACCTGGGGAGTTCAGTTCCAGCCATTTCCAGCAGTGAATGAACTTGGGATCAGCTCCAGCAATGGAGATGACTCTCTGCCTGTTGAGCAGATGTCTGGAGACGCAGCCTGTCATGAAAGGGCCTCAGAAGAAGAGAATTCCAAGCCAGCAGGGCAGTGGCGGGGAACTGGTCTCTGTTGCTAAAACTGATCTAGCCCCTGGAGCAGCTGCAAACCTTGGCCTGAAATTGGAGCCTGTACATGGGGACAAAGAATATAAAAGGGAGGATGAGCTTCTCCCCTCCCCCTACCTTCATCACGTTTCCTCTTCTCGCCATTCGACCGAGGAATCCCCAGGATCCCGTTAATGGAGTAAGAGCCCACTGGATCATTGGAGGCACTGGAGACAGGAGGGGATGCTGTGCTGGGCACTGGACAAAAGGAAAAGGGGAAAAGGGCCATGAGGAGAGTAGCACAGCACTTAGGGATCACACAGCTGAAAGCTACACATGCCACCAGTCTCATAGGTAAGCCTGGGCACTAAGTAGGCTTCCAGTCCCTCACACTGAAAGGCTCATACTCGTCCTACTGCTAACATTGCTGCATCCCAGCTTTGCCATTCCTATACCATAGCTCAACAGCCTTCCAGTATAGGGCCATTAATAACAAGCAAGTGTATTCCATCAAGAAGCTAACTAAACCTTGTTGTTACATCCCAGTTCAGAGCAGGCTTCCCAGTGCGTGCCATAGTAACAGAGTGCAATGGTGCATAGCCCACATTCCCCAGTGGCTTCCTAGTACATCCATATTTTGCCAGGTCGTTTCCGCTCAGCATTTTTCCACCAGGAGTGCACATGTTCTGTCTTAGCCAGACCAGCCTCTCACATGTCCATCTAAAACACTCATTAAGAAATTACGCTCTTAGCATAGGGTTAGAAGCACCTCAGTACTGGCCCAATAAATTCAGTTCCCTACTAGACCAAATGGTGAGTTGGGGATACAGACTCCAACACAGATTGATAAAAATATAGTGTCTCCTTCTTGTACTAACGAACAGATTAATAAAAATCTAGTGTCTCCTTCTTGTACTAACCAATGTCAACAGGCAGACTCCTCCTGCCACTCAGGGCTGTCCAAGACTGCTCATGAGTTTCCAATATATCAGAAATGACAAGTCATACAGGTTAGAAATGATCACTTCATGAATAATCAGGGCTTTTGAGTACAGAACAAGTAGAGCTATGCATCCAGTAGGCATGCCCATTATGTCACAGCATGTCCCAGTAATGGGGAAAATATCCCAAGTTTCTTGCAGGCCACTACCCATTATTCAACTCATAAAGCACTGTCCTGAAGCAATCAGTACCTCCAATACAAGCCTTCCAGGATGGAGCAAAACCTGTCAACAGTATCCCATATAGACCCACACTTCCCAGTACATCCCAGAGCAATGAGACACTCCAGTAGCAGCACTTGCAATTACTATCCCAGCTCAGCCAATGCTTTCCCTAGACATCCACTACTTTTCCAAGAAGGAATAATACCTGCCAGCTCCATCTGTTGTAGTCAGTGATTCCCAGTCCAATGAGCAGGTCCAGATTAAAAGGGCATCCAGAAATGCTCTTCCATACTGGCCCATAAATTCCACTGTGCTCCAGAACACAATTCATGTACAGAATTGTATCTGCCAGCTCTGTCCCATGTAGACCATCACTTTCCAGTAAATCCTTGTATAGCAGCTAATTCCCGGTAACCAGCAGTATTTCAGAAAGTGTCTTAAGACACTGTAAATCACAGTATCCCAAAATATTGCATGTTTTTCCCTGCTCTGAATTATTACTGTATAAAGCTACAACAACATATGCACCATACAGCCCACAGAGTGAAAAGTGCCTGATTGCACATCTAGCACAGTACCTTTAAACACAGCATTTGGTCACTTTATTACAGCCTCCATCTTCTGCTCACCTGATAAACCCATTTCCCCTACCAGAAAATGCATTTTCTCAGTGAAATACACCCATAGGATACCTGGCTGCAGAGCCAGAACAATGAAGAACTCAGTTATGAGGCATCAGGAATATCTTACTCATGTCTGTTTTTACTAGCTCTAAGAAATGGACCAGTTCCAGCAAAGAGAGAGAAAAGAAATTGGGAGAGAGAGGGGGAAAGAGAGTCAGAGTAAGAAGGAGACAACGGTTGAAGACTGATGCTTAAACAGGGTAGTAGTAAATGCTTCTCCCTAGGGAAGCTAATGAAAGAGTGTGAACATGAAATGGATGTTAAGGCAGAGCAAACCCCTACCCTGGGCTGGGTTTTCTGCCACAATTCCCTTCTCTGCAATGTAATGAGGGAAATGAAGAACAGAAACCTCTGATGTCCATTGAGGTTCCTCCCCCCCTCCGCCCCCCCTTGCTCTGCTTAGCATCTGCTTGTCAGACTTTGTTCCCTCAACTAAGCATCATCCTCATTTCCACTTGTCCTGTCACCACCCCTCATGCCAATCTTCTTACCGATAGTATGTCCTGGTGCAGTCACACCTGTCCCACTCCCATCTGGTGTTGGGTGAAAAGGTTGCTGAACTTTGGTTCTGATGATCCTGAAAAAGAGCAGAACATATTCAGAACTCAACAGCAACTTCTCCGTGTGCCTTTGCATACCCGCGATCCCAGCTGAGAACCTGAAGGTCTGGCCTGAGCTCTGCATGCAGCAGAGTCACTTCATTTGCCTTCTCACAGTCCTGACTCTACTGCTTCAGTGATCCAGTTCTCAGGAGATTGTCCTTGCTCTGCTTTGTCATCTTTCCCCAAAACCTGGGTATTCACTGCAAAACTGTGGTGCTCAGGTAACAAGCTAGGATGTCCTGTGTTTTAGCAACTGCATTATCATTTAGGACCTGATCTGCCAGCATGAACACAAGGCAGACTTTGCAGATAATAGAGCCACTGCTGGATTTACAAGTGGTATAGATTTAATTTTGTTGTGTACCTAAAAAATACCTTTCTGGCATAGAACTGAATGCTGAATTCTTTGAACCAATGGAAGGCTTGCCCAAAGCCCTTGCCCTTCACAAATGAAGGTGGGAGCAGAAGGCATCCGTAGGAAGTGGTGATGGGATATAGTTAACCAGGAAAAAGAAGGTCCAGCAAAGAGGGCAAAAATTGGTCTTTATCAGGAGGTGAATGAACTCAGCATGGGAACTCAGGTAGGTGTCTCTCAGTGAATCACACAAAGCTCAAGAATGAAAATAAACTGTAATTGTCAGTGCTCTATTTCTTGTTACATTACATCTTTCACCTCTAGGTCACTGGTTTAAACCCAGCTGAGGTCAGTGGTGAAAGAAAATCACTAGCACCTAGTACTTGACTGTCAAGATCCCTGCCTACTGGCAGGTGTGGCTATCTGTGACTCAGGAACAACTGTCTCACCAAGGAACTTGGCAAATAAGCCATGACCTGTGAAAGCCACTGAGACCAAATTCCTTTGAGATTAAAACTAGCCCTTCCAATTAGGGTGAACACTGCAGATGCTCTTCAGCCTGGGTTTCTGAAACTCTCAGCCCTGCATTATATTAGCTTTAAATTCTCCCCCAAAATCTCTCCAGAAAATGAAAACAAATTACTCCTTTCCACCAAAGAGAGAGCTTCCCTTAAAGATTCATTCTAAAGAATAAGTTGTCAAAACTTCAAAGAGCACATGTGTGGCTAGTGGGTGGCATGGAATGGGTAGAGATAGGCAGAGATGTTGAGAGGGCGCAACTCCTGAGAGCAAAACCTTCTTAGGAGAAGAAAGGTGTTTTAGAGCATACCATGTCAGTATGTTACAAAACTCTGATACACGCATAATGAAGCCTGGGCAGTTGTTGGAGTGGCAGAGAGGCTGCCTGGGACGTAGCTGGAGACAGGGAATATCAAGGTTCTAGCTAAGGATGGAGGTCGAGGTCCTCACCCTATATAGGTCAGTAGTATGAGGGGCCCTAATCTATAGCTGCTGAGGACCTATACGGAAGGTGTCTGAGAACCTCACAGGGCCAGATTCTGAGGTCATGCTGCTTTGCACTAGCTGAGGAACTGATCTGAGAAGTCTGTGCTGGGGCAAATAATACAACTTTTTTCTTCTTTTCTGATTTTTTCTTTTCTTTTCTCTTCTCTCACATTCCCCCTAAAACCCCCTGAAGTGCCACTCTGGTTGTGTGAGTTTATTGATTTCCCCCAGCCCAGAGAAACAGAAAAAGGGGATGGGGTGCAGGCAAAGGGATGGAAATAGAAAGCTATAAATTATTTGTGACAGGAAAGCAATAGTGCCAGAGTGCTGAGCACAAGTCCCGTGTCACTATTAGATTCCTTTTAGCCTGATGACACTGTAAAAGAGGTTAAGTGTCTGATGGAATCGTACACCTTGGGGGCAGGGGCAGTCCAGGAGCAGAACAAGCCACAGAGAGCGGGTATATCAATTCTCCAGGCCAATAATATTCCCCTCATTGATCGCAACACAAAGTTCAAAAATCTCATTATAGCCAGGCAGACCTGGAACTTTTTAAAAATCAATAGAATGATATAATGTATGTATACTTTGTATAAATGTATCCATCCATCCATCTGTCCGTCTATCCAAAATTTGCCTGAGGTTGCCTAAGTTAACCTACACATTATACTGTGTTATGTTCTAGTGTAGTGTGGCACAGTGAATGGATTAGAAGATCTCCCCTGCAGCCTTAGATGTCATATTATAAAATGTCCTGTTAGCGCTGAGGTGACATCAGACAGTTCTGTTCATACTGAGTATGACATCAGATTTGCCATTCGTACTGGGAGGTGGCATCAGGCAGCTCAGCTTCTGCTGAGGGGAGCCGTACGTGAGCCTAATTATATTGGGATGGCTGATCAGGCTGTGCTGAATCATGCTGCACAAAAATGGCAAAGTTTTGAAAAGCCATTTAGAGTAACCCCAGCCTGTGAAACAATGGTGGTATAGAAAGCATGTCCATAATGCTTCTGAAACCCAGGCAAGGGATGAAGAGGAAGGTTCAGTTTCCTGCGATGTTTAGTTTGTGGTCCCTCAGCTGAGAATGCCAGTTAGTACCAGTTGTGACTGTGTTTGCTGAGATGTGTCCATTAGGAACTGGAATGAGACTCACCATCTCATTTCCCCAAGTAGCTGTCAGCTGGTAATGATTTTCGGTCACTACTGACCAGGGCCAGATTTCATCTAGTGACCCAGAGGTGAAAGGCTCTGTTCAAAAACGTTCCCCTCCCAAGAATTAATCTGGTTTTATGTCAAGAGGAAGTGTCTGGAAACAGTGAGCAAAGGGGAGCAGTTCTGGTTGTGCAACCTCCAGTGTCTTAGGTTAAATAATTCTTGGCATCAAATGCACAGCAAATCTAATGAAGTCTCAGGTAGAAGGTATTTCCTATGACTAAAAGAAGAGTCAGGTCATCAAGAGGCTCTCTCCAGTGGTTCTCCTTTGCCCTATAGTTGTGACTGAACTCTAGTGTTGTAAGGAAATAGGAAAAATTTCAGGACATACAGGAGTGCATCCCTCTGGATCAATTCATTTAGGAACAGTGATAAACAGCAGGATAGCTAGGCATCGCTGCTGCTGCTGTAAGAGGCTTCTAGTGTGTCTGTCCTACAAGAGACCACCTAATGAAACTGCAGATGAAAGATGAACAGAGCTGACCTGGTCCTGTAGCAACAGATGCAGCATAATAATACTGTCTTTAAACTTGGGGATTGCTGAAAGCTTCTCACCCTTACTGGAGACTGAAATACACACTAAGCCAGCTCTTCTGCCTCAAACCTTGGATTTCTGGATTATTGTTGTGTAAGAGGGAGCAAAGCCTTGCTCACCTCTTCCTGCCTTTGATGGCTTCTTGCCTCCAGACACTTGAGAAAGACAAGCCTTTCTGCAGAACGCTTCCTCAGCCCTTCCCAAAACCATTAGGCACATAGATCCTGGAACACCAGTCAGCAGTGCTCATTTTTTGAGGTAAATGCCAGTATTTCAAATGCCTTTTTTTTTCTCCAAAAGAAGTTGTCACTTAGTACTAAATTCATCCCTGCTCTAATTCCATCACAGTCAGTGACTCCAACAACCACATTTGTGTTTAATTAGAGGCACAAACTGGCACTTAACTGCAAATTCCCATTTTTCATTTCCAGGGGGAGGTTTTTGCACAGGTTGTCTACTTTGAGTTTCAGAGAATATACACAGATTTAATACAATATTTCTGAGGTTTCAGCAACAGGACATTTATAGATCTTCGATTGCAGTAAAGCAACTGAACTTCATTTCACAATCTGAATTTAATATGCAATATTATCTTAAGTAATGGCATATAATGTCATTACAGTACATAGTATCATCTGTGAATTATACATCCATTCCTGAAATACGAGTTACCATAGTTGGCTTGTAGTAACTCTTTCTAGAGTTAATACTGCATACAGCTCCAGCTGAAACTAACTGCCTGTTTCCAAATGCCTTCAACTTTCTTAAACGTTCAGCATTAGATCATGAATTTCCGATTTTTGATTTCTATTTCATCATTTTCAGCAGTTTTAACGCAATTCCTTTTGCTGATTCTGAATACAGATGGACAGACAAAAAACATCTCTCCTATTATGACAGTTGTAATAAGCTCTAATTAAATTTGGTCAAGAATGTAGAGAAACACTAGAAGATAAATTATCTAAGCCATAGTCCTTCCTGACAAGCAGAATATTCTTTCACTCTTTATAAATAAGAAACTAAAAAAAATCACTCCTAAACCTATCCAAAAATTATTTGCTGAAAGAATAACAGATCATAAGAAATGCCCCTTGCTTCTTTGACATTTCCATCCAAACTCTCTTACAGTCTGACATATTCTGTGGTTTCTCCTCTCTTACTATTGCTGGCAGAGTCTTTAGACAATATTTCAAATTAAACCAAAATTATGCTAGGGCTGATCAGAGGGAGATAAGGTAGGTCTGAACCATCTGGAGCCCAAATCTAGTGATTCTTTTAATCCTGGAAGAAGAGAATAAAGTTGCACTAAGTGACCGAGTGTTGTGTCCTGCTGCCACAGAGAGACCCTGCCAGATTTCAGAAAGCGCTGGTATCCTCACTTTGATCGTATTCCTTTGTCATGGATTATTTTTCAGAGTGGAAGGATACACTCAGCAGAGCACCAAACTCCTTGTAATTGTTTTGACGTTTTTCATATTTTAAATGCTCCATATTAGAAGCACATTACAAGACCCCAGGGTGTGCATTACTGGGCAATTAAAGCAGTTCTTGGAAGGCTAACATTGCGAAGCCTCAGCCTTTTCTCTGCAGTGTCCAAGGGAGGCTGTGATGGCCAAGGCACACACACCCTGCTGTGCTGCATGGCTTAATTGGCGCAGGGCTGCACTGCTGACCCACAGGCTGTGCCGGCGGCAGAGACAAGGCAGCCTGCAGGGGACTTTGTGAGGGGCTAAGTGAGACAGTGATGCCTCCCCTGCATCAGATTGCTTCCTACAAAAGGGCTCATGACCACCCCAGTGGTGCTAGTGCCGAAGCATGCCCGAGGAAAAAAGGGAGAGCATGGGATGCAAAGAGGCAGCTTTGGGCTC